TGCAATTTTCAGCTGATGGTACGCATTTGTTAATTGGCCAAACTGGACGTAACTGTAACTTCTTCCAAACAAACATGGCCGCGTACGCGCCATCACATTTTGAAGTGAGAATGTGCAGTTCTTGGTGTCTTCCTTCAATTTCTGTCTGATGTGACTAAACAGAAGGAGTACTCAAAGTGTTTCGGGTTTTAATCCTCCTTCACATTTTTTCCTCTCCAACAGCTGCGGAAATCCCTCAGTTCATCCACAGCGATACAGCGCTTTCGAGCTTCTCAACTATGCACAGCCTTGACCTTTCCAACATCACTGTTGAGTCTGTCATCCCAGTCATTTCCTTCTCTGCAACTTTCCCAAGCCTGTAACGGTGCCCTAATCAGTAGCCGTTGTTAAATGTATTCTTGCCCGCAATACGGAAAGTCGGTCGCCGCGTTCAAAAATGGCAAATTATAGAGACATCTGCGAATGCGCCAGTCGTCCATATAGATGACATCAACCTATACATTTGCGTTTTGACACAAATTATTTTTTTTAGTAGTTTTGTCCTTATCTTTCGAAACCAAATGTTAGCAAAAAAAGTTTACTCGTCAATATCATCAGTGCTGGCCTATCACCTCTGCCTTTTTTTTTTGTTGATGCTAATGTACTGTTCTCCATTCTTCGCTTTTCGCCTAAATTTTGCGTTAGAATCGTTCGCTACAAATGAACTCATCATGTCCGGTAGCCTTTCAACCATGTCACTGTCGTTAGTTAGTGCATAGACACAAGCTTCATCAATTTTAAATGTTGGGAATCGGACTTGATGAGTGCCCTGATGTCACAAAACTATCAGATGATTTATGAAGGCCACTTTCGCTGACAAATCCCACTCCATTACTGTTTCTTTATTCTTTTCTCCCGCTGAACAAAATCATTTTACGGCCGATCCGCACTGCGATACATCTGACTTTTCGCCAAAATTCACTGATGAAGAGAAAAAAACGATGCATTATATTTTATGGCTCCCATCGAAGAGATAGTTCCGGCCCATTCTATGGCAGTCTGGCTCGGACAGCTGAGATCCTTAGCAGTGACGGTACTGTCTTTCAAAGAATTCCTGAAAAAAAAAAATTTAAAAATCAGAGTAATAATAACCTACCTGGAGCTGTTCGACCAGTAATGGGATCACTCGCACAATCAATTCTGGTGAAATTTTGTACAGAACAAATATCAATTCGGGCAGTTTAGCGATCGGTACCAGAGTGCATTCAGACAGCGCACGCATCTCCAATCCACGCTTCAGAAACTAAAAATTTCAAATGCAAAGATGTCTGAATTTGATGAAAAACGCAGAAAATTATTCGTTGGGATGTAGCAAAAAAAAGGGGAAAAATTCGGCTTATCGAACACCAACAAACCACCAAATGTGAATGACTGTGCCGAAAAGCAAAACGTAACTAAATCAAGAACTCTGTACAAAAACATCATGTCTATGCATGAAACTGTAGGCACCGTCAATGCCAAAACAACGACAGAATAACAATGTAGCCAGAACAGCGGAAAAGTAGGAAGGGGAAAAAAAAAACTGGACGAGAATACCGTGGAATTTAGCTGCGAGCATGTAAAAACCCACTGTTGAAATTCTGAACTGCATTGGAAGGCAAGAAGTCACTCTAGTTTCACTGAGTTTGAATCCGAAACCGTAAAAGGGAAGGGGGGGGGGGTCATGTTTTAAGCAAAAAGGTAGGGAAACTGGACAGTGCACAACTGCATCTGAGATATTCACTCCTTCTGGAGCAAACTAAATTGTTAGGCTTTTCATAGATGAATAAATAAACATAATCTCAAACAGTGCACTGATTCCTGCCAACTGAAATTTAAAGAGATTCACAAGAAAATGTAGTTGAGCATTTAAAAAATTTGATGAAACAACACCAACCGCTGAAACATACGGCTCCAAGGCTGTCAGATTTGAACGAATTAATTGACAAGCCATTAAGCATGCTCGTCGGTCGTTCTGAAAAAGAAATCCGCCATATGCTTGCCTTAACTTCTCATCTCATCCCCCAAAAAAAACGTGAAATCAAGGCAAATTTATAATTTAAG